GTTGATTATCAGAAGTAGTGATTATCTCAGCGAACCACCAATTCTCATCTTCTTCACCAAGGATACGTAGACAGTCACCTCGGCGGAAGGACATTTCTTCTCGGAATTCAGCATTAAAGTCAAACTTTGCTATACACTGTCGTCTGGCTAGGTTTGTAGACACTATTCCAGGTGGCAAACCAGTGGTATTTTGTAGAGATTGTTCTTTGCTTAATAGACTTGCACCCTCGGTAGCCTGTGCATGAACACCTCTGGAGCCAGAATTAGTTTGAACTCGAGGATTGTTAAACACTGCATTAGGTCCAGAGCCTACTGAACCAAAGGTCTGAAAGTAAAATTTAACACAAATAACAATTATTGAAAAAGTCAATAAGCAGGCTGGCTGGTGCTGAATGTCTAAAGAAAGAACTACAAATTAGAAGCAAAAGAATGACCCCATTGATGAACTCTAGACAGTACTTGATTACACCACAGCAAAGAAAAAAAACAAAGCAGAACAGTTAATTTATCAGAACAACATGAAATATCTTTTAAAATGATATCTTAATATCCGTTTGCTTCTCAAAAAAATCTCATGTAGGAATGGATGCAAAATGTTTGCATTCGGCTAGACAGAGAATTTCGATAACAAGATGTAGCGTAAATAAAGTCGGTAGAAATGAAGTGATAACAGAATGTTTATGTACAGTGTTGTTAAACAGATCTACTGAAGGCAAGATGAGGAGCTGAAAAGCAGATAAAGAAAAAACTTTATTGGAGTAAGCGTAAGAAAAGCGGTAGGTGAAATAATCATTTTATGCAACAAACTATCAGGTAGGTGAAAGACAAACGGATGTCTGTTTCATAATGGAAAGTTTCTCTTCAATTAACGTATATATATATCTCAACTTCACCAACCTGTAGACTTATTTGGAGAAGTCTGCTAGCAAACCAGAGGTGATCAGAAAATATAATCGTCAAGCTTTTATTTTCACAACAGTTTTACCTGCTATTTCATAGTTATCTCACTCGCTGTTTGATGATACTGACGTCAATCCCAGGTGATTTTGACAAGCAGATATCAATGCTATTTTCCATTTCAATCAATATTTTGTTTTAAACTTGAGTAAGATGGGAAAGTATTTCCTGTATACTTTACCAACATGATTGGTTTCTAGCTATGCGTCAGTGACAAGGATCCCTGAATGTGTTCTTGGTTTTGCTTAAACTTCGAAAAGTAACTAACTAGACTAAATGAGACCGGAAAATAAATTTTAGAAATGTTCGAACATATACAGTATGAACTCTCAAGTTATAAAACATTTGTCAAACGATTGAAAGTGAAAATCAGAGTCAATAAATAGTGAAGAGTTAAGAGTACCACTCAGTCGGTTCCCAAACATGATTAGACTGAGTCCAGCGAATAATATCGAGTTCATTGAGCCGAGAATTTCATATTTCCTAAATTAATAGAAGTTCTCTTACAATTTTTGGCATAAACTTCTAACACTACGATTAGACTCATCTGCAGTCAGAAAGAATATCACACTCATTTGCTGACCACCAGAAAGCATAAATGTGCGATGTAATATCGTTACCTTTTGGTCTAAGTCATCGTATTACAAAATAGAGCAGGTACGAGGAAGATCAATAAAACCAGAATACAGAAATGATAGGAGAAACAGCTAAAGATATGTGATAATATCATGTCTCATATTATTATCATTATTTGTCCCTTGGGTTCCTAGTGGAACATGAGGCTTCAGTAGCACCTCCCCATTCCACTCTGTTCCCGCAGTCTTTTCAACCTGGCGACACGACTGCCAACAATCTTTCATTTCTTCCTCACATGATCTCCTCCATGTCAACCTCGCCTCGGACGCCCAACTCGCCGTTACCCATCTGGGTTCCACTCGAGGGCCTGACAAAGCGCGTGATGTCCCCAGTCGGCCTTCTCAGTGTATGCTGACTCCAATCCATCTCCACTTCCTTCTGCATATTTGTTGAGTGATAGGTACTTGGTTGGTTCGTTACCAGAGTTACTTGTTGCTTATTCTTTCTGGCCATCTGAGCTCCAGTAATGAGCCAGCGTAGGCAGTTGTTGATGAATGTCTGTAGTTTGTTGGAAATGCTTTTCGTAACTCGCCTAGTTTCTGAACCATATAGAAGCACTGACTTGATATTAGCGTTGAAAATCCGGATCTTGTTACACATGCTGAGTTGAGTGCAGAAGATCTCCACACTGGTTTCAGTAAAACAAACAATGTGAGCGAAAAAATATTTCTTTTCAATTAGTTCCTCATCAATGGCTCTACACTAATATAGCATTTTCAAACGTAAAATTACATACCAATCTAGTGGTGAGAGTTGTTCAGTCAAAGGTTATCAATCTCAAAGTTTCAAGAAGGTGATAATTGGTCAGGTAATTAAGACAGTTAACTCAAGCCAAGATCAATTATCGTAGAAAGATTTTGCGAACAGGTTCTTACATAATTGATATTTTATATAATGATAACTAAAGAGCAAAAAGCGTAACACTGGTTTCAGGTTAATGAACGCCTGTCTTGCTGTGTTTCCGATCCGGGTTTTGACATCCTCATCTGTGCCACCACTGCCACCTGTAGTTGAAACGAAGTTGCCTAGATAGGTGAAAGAGGCTACTTCCTTCAGGTTCCCCCATTGATGGTGATTGGTGCTTGTTGTTGATTCTGTTGTTGGTTGGGTATCTTCATCACCACTGTCTTCTCTATGTTCACTTGAAGTCCCGTCTTCGCTGCCTTTTTCATGTCTCATAGGTGAATGAAAATAAAGTGTTGATTTATCTACAACAGCATGAACAAGTCAGTTTGTGTATGTAATATTATAAAAATTATCCTAGTACTAATGAACCAGGTTTGATAAGACCAATTCACAAGAAATATCATGAGGAAGAAAGATGTGAACCTATGAATTATTCTTAAATGACAATCCAGTGAGTTATTGATAAGACCATAGTGAAAATTTCCGCTGTATGGTGTTATAAATTTAAGCAATTCATTATTCTGCTGTTAGTTTTTATTATTCAGATATTTATGAACATACAATTACTTTCGGTCTCAAAGTTTGTGAATCTCCGTTGTTAACTGAACCGAATGGATCAGGCATTGGCATACGGGCTCCTGCCTCAATATTGCCTGTTTCAATTATATCTTATTGATGGATAGTGGGTAGCAGGGAATACAGGAGCCCATGTATTCAAATAGTGGCTGATCGATTCGGTGTAATCAACGACGGGGGCTAACAAGCTATAACATCAAAAACCATACTATATCTGTCACATAAAGAGTGACTAATGTGACTCAGTTGTCAAGTGGACAACGTTTTGGTGCTTGAAGCGACAGGTACTGGGTTCGAGTCTTATTGGGAACACCACTTGCTGGGATGCAGGTACATCCAGTTGACGAGTTCCAAATAGGAAGAAGAGCGCGTTCCGGATCCCACTGCTAGTTACTATTCATCGTTAATCCGATTACTTCTCAGTAAATCAAACTATATTAACGAAAACTTTGACAGACAAAGTTTTTTTCTGCAAACACCCAAGCACTTTCTGTTATTACCATCAAAAAGCCAGTTAGTGAACATGTTCCACTATCTTTTTAATTTACCATGGTTTCTTGGTGGCTAGGTCAGGAATACTTTATATCGATTTCCCGATAGTGATCACCAAAAGTAATCAACATTCAAGCCCCACTCAATATGTGATATAAACTTTTGAAACCACTAACTTGCAGTTATGCACAATGTTGAACCGAGGCGATTCATAATCATTGATTATGGTGCAGAGAGATATTACTGTGTGCAAACTTAACCTTCTATTCAAAAGAGATGAATCGAATTCCACCGACTTTAAAAATTTGCATAGATTTCATATATATATATATATATATATATATATATATATATATATATATATATATATATATATATATATATATATATATATATGCCGCAGCGTTATATCACGAAGTAAACTTGGTAGTTTAGTAAAAAATAGCATCAAGTGGAAAGCATGCTCATACGCACATGCAAGGTACGTTAGATAAATGTATGACATCGATAAGAAAAACAGGCTTTTGAATGCAACACCAATGAATTCACTGGTAATTTATATACCTTTACACATCGTATGACTCTAACGAAAGATGCAATAAAAAGAAGAGAGGTCACTGTATAAAGAAAAAAAAACGCAATTAAACTATAAAACTTAGCGAACAATAAAACCACCGTAATCATTTATCTCAGCCACAAATACTTAACAATTCAAAAAATATCAAATTTAGTGATGAAAAAGTGAGTAATGAATACAATTTTATTTCTGAAAACATGTATGTTTGCATATATATATCCCATGAATGTATATATATATATATATATATATATATATATATATATATATATATATATATCATAGCCTATCACAGCTGGAGGTAACCAAACGAAAACCTTAAATGAAGGCACTCGACAGGATAGTATATTGGTTACTAAAAGGCAATCTGTGCCCCTTCTTACTAGCTGCGAAAAAATACAGCTTGGTAGTAACTTTTGTACCCCACAGAACAACAAGCTTGAGGATGACCTTCACATACACGTTGCATAAGTGCTTTGCTGAAAAACACCCAATATTTCCTGGTTGTGGTAAAATGAATTCTCAAAGAATGCACTGCACAATACCAATATTTGACGATTAACGGTTGTACTGGATAAAAAAAGATCAGGAGATATTACATTGGCCACGACCTAGTGATGACATTCAGTGGACAAACGTTATGTAAGCAAAATAAAGTAAGAGAAATTGCAATGACGAGAAAATTATTAGACCCATTCCTGGGAAATGGGTACAAATCAAAGTTTCGCGCTTAACTTTCATTAAAGCACTTTCACTACTGCTGAACTGTTGAAAGTTTAAATCAAAATATTTTTAACTATGTGAGTTAGTTGTGGCATTTTGACAGATGGAGGGGACCGAAATAATGGGTGATTATTTGATTTTTTCAAACATGTTTAACACAAGTATGAAAACAAGATGTATACACTCACTGAGGTCTATTTAGTGGTGTATAGCATGTAGTTGGGTGCTGTGTATTATGGTGGTTTCAGCATATTGATCCTTTTAAGAGTAAATGAGAAGCCAAACTACTTCCTCGATAATCAATTGACTTTAGGTGAATGATTAAGAAATATGGTTAATTTAGTATTTGTTTGCACCTAAGAAGTACAATGTTGAATATCCGAGATAGGCAGGGAGCAGGATTGATGAACATACAGTTTACTTTATAAACGATGTGGGGATAAAGCGTAAAAGTTTGT